GTGAAAGTTTAAATTTTAAAATGTATTATAGTAAAAGACACAAATCCTCCCCCTCACTTCAGACAGACTCGACTCATTCCCTCATTCTTGATATTTTCCCAAGTGGTTCCGAGTGTGTCTTTTTGTGACTGCCTCCATGTTGATGTAAAATGTTGCGGTAAAATGTCTGAATTGATACAAAATGTTTGTGGCAGTTCCTGTGAACTAAAAACATGACAGTGTGTCCTCATCGGGTTATTCTCTGGATCTGGCACCATACGACTTCCGGCTCGTCCCCAAAGTCAAAATGACCATGAAAGGTCCACGTTTTTAATCAAGTCAAGACACTGAGGCAGCCAGGACAACACAACTAAAGATCTTCATGAAAGAGGACTTCTAGAACTTCTCCAGAAAGTAGCAAGAATGATGTTTGAAGAGAGGCAGAGTATTTTCAAGGGGACTAATGGCAATGTGTCTTTCACTGTAACAAATATGTTATTTTCCTAACGTTTTTACTTAAAAGATGTTTTTACAAAGGGCTGGAGATTTAGCTCAGAGGCACTGCACCTGCCCGGCAAGCACAACATCCTGAGTTCAATCCCCAGCTCCCACCCGCAAAATGTTTTTTACAAAATATCATTCTTCCAACCAAAGAGAATTTCCTATAGGGTACACATAGTTTTCTGCCTTAAAGACACTGTAGTAATTAAAACAAAACAAAACAAACAACCCTACTTATTCACTATATTTTCAATTGTACTATGTATAAGAAAATTGTACAACTTGATAAAAATATTGAGTCTGACAGGAAAACAAAGAACAAAAACAACTTGAGGGAAAAAAAAACTCTAGGGGGAGATAATATAGGTTAGAAACAAGATGGTTTTCAACCTCGCAATTAGTGAAATATTTGGAAATGAACACAGGTGTCGCTCGCAGGGACGGTCACCATTTCTCGGGCTAAAGGCCACCTGCTCCCAAGTATGGGCCCAGGTGTGCCTGGCCCTGGGCACTGGGCCAGCTGCAGAGGGCACCCACAAGGTGGGGACTCACCCACTGGTGTCCATGTTCTGCAGCCGCTGCAATAGTGTTTCGGAGAGGCTGGGCCGGCTGGCCTCAGGGGCACGGGGGTTCTCAGCTGGCACCGGAAGCTCTTTGGTCTCACAGTTCCCAACAGAGAACAGGATGTTTCTGGGTGGCAGCTCGGGTGGCGACATGACACTTTCTACCCAGAAGAACAACAGGGAGCCATCAGCAAGGCGCCCCGTGCATCACCCCACCCCACACGCTGCACCACAGCCCCCCTTTCTGGGTCCCTTGTGCCTCCCCGGGACCCACTTCCTCACAGACTTGGGATCGGCCGGAAGCTCCTGGGCACAGACCTGGCTCTCTGGATCCTTGTACCTGGGGCTGCTGTGGGGCACTGCTGGGGTCTGGTGCCCTGCTGGGCACAGGGCAGGGTGGCCTGCAGGGCTGCCGGTCTTGGACAGACTGAGCCAGGCCTGGCTTTCTGGGTCCACAGCCCAAGAAGGAGGCTGGGGAGGGAAGGCAAGAGAGCTGGCCAGTCGCCCCCATCACCCACCCCTCTCTCTGCACCTTTTCTCCAGCCTCTGCCCTCCTCCTTTCTTTCCGCATAAGAGCTGGTCCAGTTTAGCGAAGCCTCAGAGACAAATTTTTTAAAGCGAAGGGAGACAAATTTTTTAAACTGGGAAGGGTGGGCACGCCTGTAATCCCAGCACCCAGGAGGCTGAGGCAGGAGGATCGCCACAAATTCAAAGACAGCCTGGGCTGCACAGCAAGTTCAATGCCAGCCTGGAATACAAAGTTAGACCCTGAGTTAAAAAAAAAAAAAAAATAGGGGAGTTGCCTCAGTCAGACACCAGAAATGTTAAACAAACTGAACCTGGCCTGACAGGTGGGACCCTTTTCCACCTCCATTACAATTTCTTTCCTGTATGTACCACAAAGAGGCAAAGGCCACTCCCTGCCTACACCCTTTCTCACGCCTACTGGCCGCCATAACCCACAGCCGCAGCGCTGTCTGGCGACTTTTTCCTTTCAGTGGACACACATTTCACTTCCTCTCCTGCTCTGGGTTCTGGACACAGATTACGAGTGAATTTCAAGCCCCAGGGACTGGGCCGGCCCTCACAAAGAGCCGGGTCGATGTCTGGCTGCCTGGACCTCTTTGGGGAAGTGAAGCTGGCGGTCACAGGACTGGGACTCTTTCTATCTCCGGCCCTGATAGGAAGTGTGTGGGTTGGAGCTGTCTCAGACAGCACCTGAGAGGGGCACAGCCAGCTGGGGTGGATGTCCAGGGCACAGCAGGATGGTGCTGTGTGGAAGGCCCCGCTGCAGGACAGCTCCTCAAGGTCAAAGTCAAGGTCAGAGCTAGGGCCGCTGCACAGTCCTAGGCCCGAGCATAGTAGGGCTCTACCCTGGACTCACACACAACGTCTCAGCTCTGGCTGCACCCACTGGACCTTCCCAGTCCCTGGGAACCTCTTCCTCTGGCCAGGGAGGGTGGAAGGATGTGGCCAGCCCGGGGCCCTAGTCGCCCCTTGGAGCTCGGCCCAGTTATTGGGGAGGAAGCTGTCAGTCTGTCCTTGAGGAGCTGTGCAGCCAGGAAAAGGGGGTGTCCAGGGAGGTGGAAGAGGGGGCTGGTGACCCACAGTTCAGCCCAGTGGAGGAGATAAGACAGCCCTTCAGGGGGCTGGCAGCAGTCACCAGGGACAGGCAGATAGGAGCCCCGTCAGGGAGCTCAGTGTTTCCCTTCTCAACTGCTCTGGAAGAGCCCCAGGCAGAGGAGGGGCAAAGGAGGCATCCCGGGTTTCCTTTTAGGAAATGAACCTGAGAGAGAGGAAGGCGCCTCTGTGGGTGAGCTTTCTTTCTGCAACTTTCTCTCAGACCACTTCCGCGGCCATCCCTCCTCCCCATGCTGTGTAAAGGGTGGGCTGAGTCTCACACACTTTAGGGTTTTTTTTTTCTTCAGTAGTGGAGATCAAACCCAAGGCCTTCACACTGAGCTTCCTCCGCAGCCTTTTATTTATTCATTTTTAAATTTTGATAAGGGTCCTGCTAAGTTCGGGCTTGAACTTGCAATCCTTGCCTTGGCCTCCCAGGGTGCTGGGGTTACAGATGTATACCACCATGCTGGGATTTCTTGTCAACATATTTTTAGGAGCTGTAGCTATGTCTCTCCCTTTTAAAAAATTATTTAAATTTTTTTATTTTTTATTTTTTGGTTTTTTGGAGACAGGGTCTCACTATGTAGTTGAGACTGACCTGGAACTCACTGTGTAGCCCAGGCGGGTCTCGAACTCACAGTGATCCTCCGGCCTCAGCCTCCCGAGTGCTGGGATTACCTCCGGCCTGCCTCCCGAGTGCTGGGATTACAGGCGTGCGCCACCACACCTGGCTTTATCCCTCCCTTTTACTGATGACAAAGAAACACCTTTGTGGCCCTTCCCTCCAGGTGCAAGGCTCTCCTCTTCCACTGTCCCCACTTGAAACGGTAATGGTGACAATATTAAAAAATTATTTAAATTTTTTTATTTTTTATTTTTTGGTTTTTTGGAGACAGGGTCTCACTATGTAGTTGAGACTGACCTGGAACTCACTGTGTAGCCCAGGCGGGTCTCGAACTCACAGTGATCCTCCGGCCTCAGCCTCCCGAGTGCTGGGATTACAGGCGTGCGCCACCACACCTGGCTTTATCCCTCCCTTTTACTGATGACAAAGAAACACCTTTGTGGCCCTTCCCTCCAGGTGCAAGGCTCTCCTCTTCCACTGTCCCCACTTGAAACGGTAATGGTGACAATGGTGGGAGCTGTACTTATTGTCTGCTAGGTACCAGGCTCTGGGCACTGCATTCATTGGCTCACT